TTTGGATGTAGGAACTTTGACTTTGTTGTCTTCTTCTAGTTGTATATTTTGATCTTCTTTTTTCTCCAAAGTAAGACAATATAGTCTGACTCTTTTTTTGCACTGCTTGCTCATAATCCCAGCCAATTACTTGAGTTTTAAACTCTTTGTTAAGGTAAGAGTCTGCTTCCAATGTGGAGAGTGTACTGTCCCAAGCTTCAGGGGTTTGTATAGCTGTTTTCAGAGATACTTGTAGGGACCTGTAAATTTTCAGTTCTGTCCTGTAACTGTGAGGAGGGGTTTCTCTCCACAGCCACTACAAGCTCCACCCCACCAGTGTTCCTCCTCACCCTAGCCCCGCCACCCAGAACTGTGACCCAGATCCACACATGGGCAAAGCAAGAGATTCCTGCCTCAGCACTGGCAAAGAGATCCCTGCAATCCTTCTCTGATCAGCCACAGCCCCCTCAGTCTGTGGGCTGGAAGCTCGTGAAACAGCTGCCCCCCCCAGCCCCCCACCACAGTCTTGGGGAATGGAGCTGAAACCCCGCCTTCCTCTCTTAGCACCGACAGAAACAGACTTTTCCCACTGACCTTCTAAGTTGTCTTTGGCATTCGTGGGTTGAGGAGTCTGGAAACCTCCACAGCTGCCAGCGATTCAGTCCTCTGAGGCCTGCTCAAGGTTTGCTGTTTCCTGCGCGCCTATGCTGCGCTGCGCTCCCAGCCTGGCGCGACACACCTTTCTGATCAGTCATCCACGTTGTCTTGGGCTGGAAATTTCTTTCACTCTGTCTTTTTGTGGGTTCTGCTGCTTCAGAATTTATTTAGAGCCATTTTTTATGAGTATTTGGAAGGGTTTGGGGGAGAGCTCAAGCAAGTCACTGCTTTCACTTGCCATCTTGGCTCCACCCCCGAAGTTCATTGTTTTCCACAGGCCTTTTCATAGGCAGTTGAGCTATTCAAACTTCAAATCTCTTCCACAGTATGGAACACTTCTTTTGAACCTGAAAGTACTTGCCTTTATATTTCAGTGTCTTTCTCCTTTTGCCCCTCCTTTCAGCTTTGTTGCTGAAGTCTGACTTGGACACACTATTACATATTTATTTTTTTTTTTATTGACTGGGCCTGTGATCCATCTGTTTTGGAACACCCTGTGAGGAACTTCTACCAATACAAACTGGTACCTGCCCTTCAAGTTATAATTTTAGGGAGTCACCTAGAGTATTGAGAAGTTATGTGACTTGTGTGAGGTCATGTTGCCAATATGTGTAAAGACAGGACTTGAAAAAAGCTGTTCCTGACAGCCTATTCACTATGCTTTTTTTTTTTTGATCAGTATTTATTAGCAACGTAAAGTTGAATGGACTATACAGACAGTTAAAGATTTATTCAAGACAGACCTTTATGAGGGACTGTAGCATCTTGAGTCAAAGTCATGGACTTTTTGGGTAGCCACACAGGGCCCAAGATGTGGGGACTTAGAGGATAGGTATCAGATAGAATGTGAAATGATGGCTTGAATACTTTGGTGTGTTTCATCGATAGAGAATGATTTTGGCCTGGAGGAAGTTATCCTAAGATAGGGACTGAAAGTTTCATTGATATAAGAAGTCCTAGGGGAAAAACCTCCCTTTATCACCATAAGTTAACACCTTCTTTGCAGTTTATAAACCTAGAGAGTTGATTAGAGGACTGATCTTGGTTCTACTACTTAAGGCCTGGGTAAGAATGAGCCTCAGTTGCTCAACTAGAAGTCAAAGAGAGTGGACTAGATGATCTCTCACCTTCCCTTCTGTTTCTAAATCTACGAACCTAAGTTAGGTCTTGGGTGCCCTCCATTGTACTTTCACTGTAGGGTGTTGGCTCTAGGTTTGATGAAAGGCATTTGTGTTGATTGCTGGTCAAGCCTGATGCTACTCCAGAATCCGTTATAAAGCAGAACCCAGAATTGGGAAGGGCAGCTAGGTGGTACAGTGAATAGAACAGTAGATGAGGAATCAGAAAGAATTTCTTACTGAGTCCAAATTTGGCCTCAGATACTTCCTAGCTGTGTGACCCTGGGCAAGTCACTTCACCCTATTTGCCTCAGTTTCCTTATCTGTCAAATGATCTGAAGAAGGAAATGGCAAACCACTCCAAAATCTTTGCCAAGAAAGCCCCAAATGGGGTCCTAAAGAGTCAGACATTACTGAAAACAGCAGAACAACAGCAGAATTGGGAAGAAAGAGATAAGGAAGACTTAGGTCAAATCTGGACCAAGCTGACTTTACCCCTTTTGTTTTTACAGATGGGGAAACTGAGGCCTAGAGTGGTACCGTGACTTGACCCAAGGTCATTTGAACAAATCCAGAAATCATGACACCATCACTTTTCCCCTTGAAGCCTAAAGTCAAGCTGACTTCCAATTTCCCATGTCTAAACAATGGTGTCCTATAGTGAACACTGGGTATATGGAACACACTGACATCCTCCATTAGTCATTACCCAACAGCCTGATTGCAGCAGGGGGGGTACAACTCAGACCTTGGGGGATTGCCCATTTATTTCATTCCAGCTTGATTTCAGAAAAAGGCAATGCCAATGCTTTTGTGTTACTCTTATTTTATCATGGTCATCAATGCTTTCAATGACCTCAAATTACTTTCTTCTGCCATAAGGCAATAACCTTCCAATGATGCAAAATGACCTCATATCATGGAACTCCATTTCAATTAAAAAAGAAAAAAGATTTATTTAAAGTGTCTACTTCGTGAGGGCTCAATCTTGCCATAGAAAAACTCACATTTCCCCTAGGGGACAGAATATGTATATATACAAGTAAATACAAGGTAGTTTGGGAAAGGAGAAAGCTCAAAATACTAGAGGATTAAGGAAAGGCTACCTGGAGAAGGTGGCTGACCTGAGCTGACCATTGGATTATGAGATGTACGTTGCAGAGATGGAGGTTGACCAGCACAAATGCAAGAGATGGCATGTTGAGTTCAGGGAAGAGCTTGAAGTCTAGTTTAACTAGGACAAAGTGACTGTGTAAAGGAGAGTCATTTTCAGGAAGTCTGGGAGGAAGATTGGAGCCAGATTGTAGAGAGCCTCCACTGTCAGGCTGGATCATTGGATTAAAGCTGAAAGGGATCTTAGAGATCATATAATTTACCCCTTTTGTTTTTACAGATGGGGAAACTGAGGCCTAGAGTGGTACAGTGACTTGACCCAAGGTCATTTGAACAAATCCAGAAATCATGACACCATCACTTTTCCCCTTGAAGCCTAAAATATCTGAACATGTAATGGTGCCTCACCATTCTTAAAATCACAAAATTTTGGATTTTGAAGGGATCATTTTGAAGGGATCAATTCATACCTGAAAAAGAATTCCTACTACAACAAAGCCCCAAAATGGTCATCTAGATTCCGTTTGGCTTACAATGGGAAAAGGAGGAAACAAGCATTTATATAGCAACTACTATGTTCTGAACACTGTGTTAAGCACTTTACAAATATCTCATTTTATCCTCACAAAGACTCTGCAAGGTAGGCCCTACTAATCACTGTTTCACAGCTGAAGAAACTGAAGCAACAGAGGTTAAAGTGACTTGTCCAGGGTCACACAGCTAGTAAGCATCTGAGGTTGAATTTGAACTCAGGCCTTCCTGACTCCAGGCCTAGTACTCTAGTCACTGTGCCACCTGCCTTCCCCACATGATGAGGGGGAACGCATTACTTTTCCTTCTTTCTTTATCTGTAAGACCCAGCTTCCAAATGCTTAAAATGAAAATAAAATTCCACCCAGGATGTTTCCTTCAGGGTGTCAGTCTTGTTGCCTTTCTGGAAGGTCCTAAGAGGGTTACTGAGTGTTTTGTTTTATCCTAGAAGCCATAGGTCAGGTGAGAGGTAATATGAATCTGAGTAACATGCTGGTTATGGAGTCTGAGAGAAGGGTATGAATGTGAGGTCAAAATTAAAACGACAAACTACCTGCAGGGCAATAGACAGATACATGGTAAGCTTAAAAATGTTACCCATGTCTACTTGCATTCAATGGGTAGAAAGATATAAATGAAACTATGTATGACCGGAAAAGGAAGTGGGTCAGTTTTGTAGCAAGAATGAGAGATAATAATAGACCAACATCCTGAGTGACATTGTTCCTCTCAAGATACCAAAAGAATGAGAAAGCCTTCTAACCCATGGGGCGTGTCCTCTGTGGAACATTTATCAGAAAATATCACATGAAAAGCAAAGAACAAAAAGGAATAGAGTAGCGACTTGGATTTGAGGAGAGCATACTCCCAGTGATACTGTAGTTTTTAACTTTGTAGTTCTTTCTTTGAAAAAAATTTCGAGCACTCTGTGAAGGAAGTCAGGATTTGTGCCTCGTAGGGGCTGTTGGGGTCATGGAAAGTCATGATGAGCTGGGCACAGCTGAAATAGCTCAACAACAACAGGCTGTTAGAAGTAAGTTCCTTGAGAATGGAAATTGTTTCATTGTCTTTGTATCTCTTGTGTTTAGCACAGTGTCTGACATTTCATTGTTGTTGAGTCTTTTTTTTTTCCCAGTTGTGTCCAACTCTTCATGACCCCATTTGGGGTTTTCTTGGCAAAGATATTAGAGTGGTTTGCCATTTCCTTCTCCAGCTTATTTGACAGCTGAGGAAACTGAAGCAAACAGGGTGAAATGACTTGCTCAGGGTCACACAGTAAGTGTCTGAGGCAGATTTGAACTAAGGAATATGAGTTTGCCTGACTCCAGGTTCCTCACTCAGTCTACCCACTGTACCACTTAGATGCCCACCTGACACTTACTAGGTGCTTAATAAATGCCTTTTAAAAATTTGCTTAATTGATTACAACCTAGTAGCAGCTCACCCAGAGATCAACATAAATTCAGAGACACAGATGTCAATATTTAACTATTGGGGCAAAATTAGCTGGTGCTTTCTGCTATAACAAACCCACTGCAATCTGTTAAACTTGCATGAATCATGAATCAAACAGTTCATTTCAGAACATGGTTTCATGGGGAAGGACATAAGTCCACTAAATAGGTTCCCATGGCATTCATTCAAAAAGCAATAGAGGCACTAACCAGCTGGCTGTTTCGGTCAAGAACATCACTGTCTTTGATAACAATTGATGGTGTTGTAACAAACCTGCTTTCACAATTTCCTACTTCATTCCTGAGATAGTCAGGGGATCCTGTCAGTTTCTTCAGTTAATATCCTCAGTTTCCATCGCCCATTCGATTCTCAACCCGCAGCTGCTACCTGGAAGGAAAGAGTTAAAAGAAAAACAGTGGCTGAACAGGAAACTCCCCAGTGCATATGTTACAAAATGTAAGTGGAGCTAAATTGCCCTACTGTGTTGCCACTCCATTAAGATTTTATAGCCCTCTGTGGAAAGCTAAGAGATGCCTATAACATTCATCAGAGCAGCAGGTGTGTTCTAGTTGAGTGTATCTAGATTGTTTGCCAGCAGCCAAGCTGTTAATTAACACCCATAAAAACCAATGAGGGTATCTGTTGGGTACAGGCTACCTGTGTGAGTTAGCACAAAATTCAGGGAAACAGAATTATGGTTAATGATAGGCAAATCTCTGGAGACCCAATTTATGAACAAACATCAAATTCCTGAAGGTTACATTTGAGGAAGTAATTAAGGTACTTTGGAAAGAGAGTGGATTCTGAGATATAGGAGCTAGGTTCAAGTTCTAGACTGGATGATTGGACTATGAGGTTTCTTCCAGCCTATCCCTAGATCTATGATACCCTGATATAACTGAGAGAAGCACTTACACAGGCTAAAAGCAGTTTTAATTGTAACTGTCTCTCATGTTCCCTGCATGCTCAGATGAGCACACTGTGAGAAGCATCCACCATTTGTGACATGGTAAGGACTGTTGAGGTTTTGGGGTATGGTTAGGGGTGCTGGAACCTGGATAATGCCAAGGCAGAGTCACCTGGAACGAAACCACACACTCAAGTCATCTTTCATGAATAGACAGTTTATGGTAATGCCAGTAGAAGTGGGTGAAGTTCCTTTTTGGGAACTTGCACCCCAATGTGGGTGAACCTAGAGCTTATATAGAAAAGGGGCATGAGAAAGGAATGCCAGGTATGCTAATTAGGTAATCTAAGAGTCCAGGTATCTTTAGGAGCTATGGATGGGAAAGTATAGGGAGTATATCAGATATTAAGGGAGGAAAGACAAGTCTTTTATTTACCTGCCAGAGGCATGGACCTTGGGGATCTGGCTGGAGGAAGAGTCCTTGGGCCAGCCAGGGACAAAAATCCTTGGTCTAGGCACCCTTCTGTCTGTTCTTTTTTTTTTTTGGAGGTTGGGCAATTGGAGTTAAGTGACTTGCCCAGAGTCACAGGTAGTAAGTGTTATATGTCTGAGGCTGGATTTGAACTCAGGTTCTCTTGACTCCAGGGTCAGTGCTCTGTCCACTGTGCCACCTAGCTGCCCCTCCTCTGTGTGTTCTGATAAAGGAATTACAGAGTCAGGCCTGCAACAAGGGAAAATTTTCTCACAGTTGGAGAAGGCTGGGTTACTTTCAGAGACATGGTCTTAGGTCTTTTTGGGGTCTAGGTCCCACTACCCCATCACTGTGATGACATTGGGGTATTGTGAGCCATCACCCCAAGTGAGGATATGTAGGCCCCAGATAGAAACCACTCCCATCACAAGTTTAAAGTATTGAGTAATACACCAAGCAATAGCCTGGTAGTCAAGTCAACAAAGATTTATTAAGCACCTATTATGTGCTAAATACTGTGTTAAGTACTGGGGATACATACAGGATACATTAGAGATAATCAGCAAAAAAAGGCATTAGAATTAAGGGGCATCAGGGAAGGTTTATTGTAGAAGATGGAATATTAGCTGAGACTTGAAGGAAGAGGACCAATGACATCACCAGAGTGATGTCTTGACTTGAGCATGAATTGGATTTAAGTGAGTAAGTTATTTGTAAGTCATCAGCTCATGCTCTCCTCCAGAGACATTGAAGTCCAGTGGCAAGAGAAAAGGCAAGATGATCAGGAACAGCAAGGAGGAAAGAAGACAATATACAGCTAATCTGGGACATGGATGAGACTCTCCCCAAATGGGCATGTATGGTATAGAGAGGGTGTGGTCTGCATCATTTGAAGGAATAACTACATTGATAATATCACAGATTTATTGGACTCCTGGAGTGTTAGATATGGAAAGCCTTGAGAACTCACAAAATCACCGAATCACTCAGGTGGAAGGGACCTCGGAGGTAATCTCATCTAACCTAACCTGAAAGTAGTAGATTCCCCCAAAAGATCTACTCTGCAAAATTCCTGACAAATGATCATCCAGCTTCTCCTGGAAGAGCTTCAGTAGTGGGCATATTATTCCTTCATGAGATTATTCATTCAACCCTTACATAGTGCTGTTAGAAAGTTCCTCCTCTCCTTCCATATCAAGTCAACGTCCATATCTACCACTTTCATTTACCCTGCTAGATTCTGTCCTCTGGGACCAAGCTGAACAACTCTAATCCTCCTTCTACACCAAAATCCTTCAAATACTGGAAGACTTATGCACCACACCCCCCATCTTCAAGAAAAGGGTAAATATCCCCCCCCCCCCCAAGCTGATACTCACATGGAATCATTTCCAGTCTTTTCATCTTCCTTGCTCCTTCTTCTGGATGTACTCTCGTTTTAAATTTTTGATAGATGAGTAGATGAAACCTGGCAATAGTCTGACATGTGACCTAGATTTGGGAAGAGCAGATTTCAAGGGGTTCAGAGAAAGAATAAGTAGGACTAAAATTACATAGGGGAAGTCAGCCAAGCAGAGATGCTTTTAAAGAAAGCAGTCCTGGCCAGGGCAGAAGGTGGGGATTAAAGTTTGAGCTTTGAAGGAAAGTGAGAGATCTGAGAGGGAGAGGTGAGGAGGAGTGTACTCCAGGCATGGGGCACAGCCAATGCAAAGGTATGGAGTTAGGAGATTCATTGTTGCTTATGAGGAATAGCAAGAAGGCCTGTTTATTTGGACTACAGAGTACCTGAAAGGAAATAATGCATCATAAGGCTAAATTGCGTAGGAGAAATTTGAATAGTTTGATAACTCTCAGAGGCTGAAGCAGGATGGCAGATGGCATTAACCTTAGAATTAGGAAGGCCTGTGTTCAAATACTACCTCAGACCTTATACTTGTTCTATCAGAGCCTTAGTTTCCTTTTTGTGATGATCAAATATGATAACATGCATAATGCATATATAAATGTGAGCTATTATTATTTGTGAGAGGCAGTGTTGTGTAATGTATAGAGAACTGACCTCAAATCCAGGAAGATCTGGGTTGAAGTCCCACCTTTGGCATATACTAGTGAGGAGTTTCCCTTCCCTGGGAGATCCCTATGTCAATGAAATCACAGGTCTAGTAACTATCCATATCCCTTGATAATCCTCAGTATTTGATTAAGCCCTAAATAAATCTTTGTATTTCCCTGTTTCTCTGTCTTTTTTTTTTTTTTTGGTGAGCAGAGGGGGAGAAATAAGGATTTAAATTTATAAGATTCCAAAGGTCTTCCTTTCCTCCAAGTTGAATGAAGTACCTATAAGTTCTAAGGCTCCTCTGATAGGGCACCTGGGAGTAACTTTGCATGTTGTGGGGAGAGAGGGATAAAAGGATAAAGGTTAAATACAAACTTCCCTAACTTCACCCTTTTGCCCACAGTTGGCTCTGTTCACAAGGAGTTCAGTTAGTAGGGGAGAAAACCTCAAAAGAAAACATTTGTGATACCAGAAGTCCTAAAATCAGGCAACCACAACACTTGAGGGAAATGGTAATTGGAACTGTGGTAATGAGGAGTCTTCTCCACCCCACAGTCATGGCAATAAACTCCACACTCCACGAGGCTCTCATACTCTGATGAACACCTCAATAGCAATCTTTGGAGGGTTTTAAATTATGCATCATTTGTCTTGGCATTCTTCAACACGTCTTTTTGTGTCTATTATGGCATGCAACATAGCTTGCATATAAAGAGACTCAAATATGTTTCTTCCATCTGGCTTTGTACATGACACTCCATCTCTTGTCTCTGTGACTAGAGTGTCCTCCTGCATCATCTTTGCCCCACAGTTTCCCTAGCTTCATTCAATATATGGCTCAAATCCCATCTTCTACAGGCTTTTCCCATCTCCTCAACTGCTGGTTCTTTCCTATCTGAGATTACCTCCCATTTACTCTCCATTCCTAGTTATGGGCATTTTGTCTTCTCCATTCAAATGTAAGTTCCTTGAGGGCAGGGACTGTGTTTCTGCTTTTCTTTGTATCCTCTGCTCTTAGTATAGTCTTTGGTACACGGTTTGTTTGGTACATAGTATAGTATGGCACAAACACTTAATAAATACTTATTGACTGACTGCCAAACAGAAACAAGGAGGAATCTGAGTCTCTCTCTGTCTTGGTAACATCTCTCAGTGGGCTTCCCAGCACAGCTCTTTGTCTATGGAGAGGATAGAACATTTAACTCAGGGTGACATTCCAAGGAGTGTGGGTAGTGTTTGTGGGCTCTCTTGAAGAAGAGGGGAGGAATGTCTATGTGGCCAAGACTACAATGCAACAAAACAGCCAGAAAATGTGGTCAATTATCCACCAATTCAGGGAGGAGACAATAAAAAGGTATCATGTAGGCCTAAAAAACAACCCTCCAGCAAACCCAATAGGGCTGCATTTTCCCCACTTTTTACATAACTGTGTTGGCACTTATTCATAGCCCAAGAAGTAAAGAAAGGAAAATAAAAGGAATGTTTCAAGGTCATTGAAGGCCAGGAAAATAATCAGGCAATTTAAGCCAGAAAGGGATGGAGACAGGGATACAGGGAACTCTGAAATGAGGGAACTTCCTTTATCAATGCAGGTCAGCATCTTCTGTGCAAATAGGCATGAAGAGTTATCTAGAGCAGAAGTATCAAATACATGGCCTTTAGCATTCCCAAACATAGCCCAACTAGAATAAAATGTAATTGGGAAATATTTAACAAAATAAACAAAAATATAATCAAAATAGATAGTTACATTTTAAAACTGTCCATTTGTGGCCAGCAGGAATACTTCTGCATGGTTTAGTGACCCTGTTTCTATCTGACTTTCACGCCTAAACCCTGGTTTAGGGTACTGCAGCCTATATGCCTCAGAGGTGGAATTTGAATCCAGGACTTCCTGGCTTTGAGCTAGCTTTCTATCTCCTATGCCTTGTGTTAGAGAAGGAAACTAGAATATTTAAGAAAATAAACCTCAAGACTTTCATAATCTAGCAAGGAGAATCTTTTGCCCATGAAACTTTATGGAGGTAGAGGAAGAGGGGAAAGAGAAAGCTTGTGACCACAGTAGAGGGAAGGATGAGAGCAGTGTGTGGGTTTAATGAAAGTTACTGAGAATATGGTGGGTTTGATTTCATTTTGATCCTCATCTCCCCATGGGCCTGGGTTGGTTGGTTTGTTCTGTGCTCAGTAGCTTCCCAGCAACTTTGCCTAAATATCTAGGACTGGCAGGATTGATACGGGCTTTCATTAACTCTTAGGTGTTCCATTTCTACCCCTGAGCTACATTCCTTAAGGATGAGAAAGCCTGTTCACGTTTTGCTCCTCCTAGGGTTGATTGCTCAGAGTAAAAGTAATAACTCCAGCAGAACGAAAGTAGCCTCCTTCTTTGCCTTTCAGGTGAAATCTCGTGTCTTTTTTGGAGTTCCACCAACATCTTTCAATCCCAGGTCACACCATTCACCTCTAGAATTGAGCCAATCTATCTTGAGACAATCAGACTGAGAGACTGGACAAAGAAAGGCTTTCTCATATTCCAATTTAAGAACTTCAAAGCACTGTTCTATCTGACCACAGAGGGAGAAAGAAATACAAATACAAAGAGCTTCTGGGCCATGCTTAATCAGATAACTGACCCTCTTTTGATTCAAGAATAAGGCTTGTAATGGAGTCTTTGAAGGAAAGAGATATTGAAATTAAAATTATTTGTCTACTGTTTTCTCTGTTTTGTAAGGGAGCTGAAGCTGGCTGGATTTCTTTGAGTTTTGGGCCTTCTTATGCTTTTATTTTAATCAGATTAATTAAGAAAATACTCTGGCAGTTCAAAAATTCATTGGTAGGTCCAGGCTTTCTGGTACAGTTACTTCCATCTAATCTTTGCATCTATTCTAGACACCTTAGGTAAACTATACGTTCATAGGCTTCTTTTCTTGTCCACCAGGACATTCAATATTCTGTATTTGTAAAGGTTTTGTTTTGGTTAATGCAATACTTGCTACAATTGATTGCATTCTTGGATATTACTCAGTTCAGTGGGATCCTAGAACCACAGCCAAAGTAGTCTATGCAATGCTGAGTATTCCATTCCCACTGATTCAATTTCCTCCAATCACTTTCTACCTTTACTACTATATCCTACTCCCTTGCCCATCTCAGCTGAAGTCCTTCCTGGCCATCTTAGGCCAGACTGTCCTTCTCTGAGTGCCCTCTTTGGCATTTAGCTAATCCTCAAATGCTAGAATGGATCTCAGATCTTATCAATGTGGTATTCCCTCAAACAATGCAAATGGCAACCCATCCATACCACCATCTTGTGGGACTCTTGTGTATGTAAATCCTCCTGCAAATTTTCAGAAATTACTAAAGTTGTTTCTTGTGGGAAGGAAGTTGACAATTGAGGCTGTGAGCAGGTTTTGACACAAGGGGATGAGATCCTGCAGCTGCAAGAAATTTTGGGGGCAAATTGATAAATGATTAAAGGATATGAACAGGCAGTTTTCAGGTGAAGAAATCAAAGCTATCTATAGTCACTTGCAAAAAATGTTCTAAATCACTACTGATTAGAGAAATGCAAATTAAGATAACTGAGGTACTACTTCACACCCATCAGATTGGCTAATATGACAGAAAAGGAAAATGATAAAAATTGGAGGGGATATGGGAAAAGTGGAACACTAATGCACTGTTAGTGGACTTGTGAACTGATCCAACCATTTTGGAGATCAATTTGGAACTATGCCCAAAGGGCTATAAATCTGTGCATACCCTTTGACCCAGCAATAGTACTACTAGGTCTGTATCCCAAAGAGATTGAAAAAAAAAAAGAAAAGGGACCTATTTGTACAAAGATATTTATAGCAGCTCTTTTTGTAGTGGCAAAGAATTGGAAATTGAAGAGATGCTCATCAGCTGGGAAATGACTGAACAAGTTGTGGTATGTGATAGTGATTGAATACTGTTGTACTATAAGAAATGATAAGAAGGATGTTTTCAGAAAAAGCTGGAAAGACATATGAACTGATGAATTTTGGACAGCAAAACTGAAGTGAGCAGAACTAGGAGAACATTGTACATAGTAACAGCAACAGTGTATGATGATCAATGGTGAATGACTTAGCTATTCTCAGCAATACAATAATCCATGATGATTCTAAAGGACTCTTGATGAAAAATGCCATCCACCTCTAGAGAAAGAACTGATGTAGTATGAATACAGACTGAAGCATACTAATTTTTGCTTTCTTTATTTTTTTCATGTTTTTTTTTTGGGGGGATGTGTTTTCTTTTACAACATGACTAATATGAAAATACATTTTAAATGGCTGTACATGTATAATCTATATCAAATTGCTTGCCATGGTGGGGGGGAGTCAAGGGAGGAAGAGAATTTGTAATGCAAAATTGAAAAAAAAAGAATGTTAAAAATTTTTACATGTAAATG